GGGGGGGGGGGGGGGGGGAGACAGCAAGACGACAGACAGACCCATCCGTACCAAATGCAGCTGCAGTCTGTGGCCCACAGGCTGCCCATAAATTGAACAGCCTTAGGGTAAACCACTGAAAACACCAGAGGCCTGAAGACTAATTAGCTGAACTCTCAGCAGGACACTGGAGAAAATGTCTAACATCATCCTAGTATATATATAGAAAGAAATATCACAGGGAACGTTAAAAGACTGTGTCAAGTTCTGGTGGCCACAATTCAGAATGGTTATGCTGAAAAACCAGAAAGCGTTCAAACAGCCAGAAGAATGATCAATGTATTAGAAATGCTTCAATAGTAAAAGACATTAATCTATAAAGTTCAAAGAGAGGTAAGGTTAGAGGTGAAATGATCACAGTCTGGAAGTCCCTATTACATATTTATTATTTTATTATAATAATATTTTATGTATTATTTTATTAAATGTTATTATTTATTAGATTCTGAGGAACACAATCTAACAACACCTAATGGAGGTAGGAAAAGCAGATTTCTAAAGACAGGCCTTTTTACACAAAACAATTAACCACTGAAACAACTCAAAGGAATTGATGTGGATTCTCCAGAACTTTAAATCAAACTCGGGTGGTGTCCTAAACTTTATGATCAATTTTGGGCAGACTGTCTCATGAAGCGGGTCAAGTTAGATGAACAAAATGATCCCCTTCTAGCCTTGTAATCTCTGAATCACGCTTAAGTAATATTCGTGACAAATTAAGAATTACATTTTATTTACTTTAGATTTCAGGGTCTTTTTGAATGGGCTTTTTGAGATCTCCACATCTAAAACGTAGAGTCAGAGAATCATAGCAAGTTAGGGTTGGAAGGGACCTCAGGAAGACATCTAGTCCAACCCCATGCTCAATGCAGGACCAAACACCAACTAGATCATCCCAGCCAAAGCTTTGTCTAGCTGGGTTTTGAAAATCCCCAAGGATGGACCTTCCTCCACCTCTCTGGATAACCTGTTGCAGTGTTTTACTACCATCCTAGTGAGAAAATTCTTCCTAATAGCTAACCTAAAACTTCCCTAAAGGCCCAGGAAGTAATTTTAATACCTTTCTTTGACTCACAGTAGTACATCAAATATATTGCGATCACTTTGGATTAAGGAGAAAATGGGCTCTTTTCCTTTGCTGGGTTTTTGGTTGTAGCCGTATTCATCTAAGGACACAGGCAGGCAAGGTTCTTTGGCTAGATGCAGCATCTTTTATTAGACCAGTTGAGTAGTTGGAAAAAAATTCTTTGCAAGCTTTTGGGCACAATCACCCTTCTTCAAGCATAGGGAGTCTCTGCTGTTCTGAGATCTCCAAGGAATGAAAGAAGATAAGTGTGACAGGGTGTCAATGAGAATGTAAATAGGTGGAAATTAGGAAAACAAAGGCGGGGGGGAACAAGGGGGAAAATGGGAAAGGTAAGTGGGGGAGACTCTACTGTACTTGAGTTTTCCAAGGTAGAAAAAAAGGCTAGTCTGTGAAAAAGACAAAAGCTGTATATTAGGAAGACAAGGATAGAAGGTCATCCTGTCACACTTCTAGCTTCTTTCATACCTTGGAGATCTCAGAACAGCAGAGATTCCCTATGCTTGAAGAAGGGTGATTGTGCCCGAAAGCTTGCAAAGAAATTTTCCAACTGGTCAGTTGGTCTAATAAAAGACATCACATCTATCTACCCAAAGAACCTCGTCTGCCTCTCTTCCTTTGTGCACTAGGTACTTTGAGATGCTAATATTTGCTTCAGAAATTGCTTCTTTGGCCATTGACAAATTTGTAAGTTCTGATGTGGATCAATGTCCCTCATTATCATGTTCTGTGAGACAGTGCAGACAGTGTAACCCCTCTCAAAACTCTGCACCCAATATGATTTTCTTGAATCAGAGGCCAATGGCACAACCATCTGCTTATCTGCACTCTTACTGTCTGGGATTTGAATCAATACAGTTTCAATAGCCAGGCTCTCTGCTCAGAATTTGGTAGAGCACCAAGTGCACCATGTCTTTATTTAATCTCTCCTTCTTGTACAGTTTTTAGCCAGGTACTGTGATGTTCCAAGAATTAATCAGTCTATTATATTCAGTAATACCTTTTATGTCTTCTTCCACCGCTAGGCATTCTAGAAACCCAATTTTCCTTTATAGCTACTTCAATTTTTCTATAAATTTATACTTATTTTTTTCCACATGCCTAGTTAAAAACTTTGTATTATGACACATACCTTTAGAAAAAGAATAAATCATACCTCTTTTTCTTCTTGCTTCCTTGATTTCTTCACACATTTTATTAAATTCTGGATCCAACTCAGCAGCAATTATGGCATGTGCTGTATCCTTTAAGGTACAAGCTCTGTGTCTAATTATTTTATCTATAAAGCAAGTTAATATAAAAACTGTTAGTTTTACTTATGTTTATAAACATACTTTTGCTCTATACATAGTTTTAGGAGCACATGTTTTTTCAGAAAGAGAAAAATGCAAGAAACAAAACAAATGTATGAAAATGAAGACAGGGAATGACCACATTGGATAAGAAAACCTGCACATCAAGTATACATCACAATTCAGCCCCTCTCCTGACTTTTAAATACTGTATTTACTCACAGAGTGTACAAACCAAAAAATCAGCCCTACAAAACTGAGGTGCAGAGACACTAATTTCCACGCAGAACTAAAGCACAGAGCTGCTATAATGCCAAAAGCTGCTGCCAATTCACCAGCAGCTGAGAGGGTTAAAACTAGCTTTTGCCTGAAATGGCCAGTGAGCTGGCTGAGGGCAAATGAGCTGCTCCATGCCATCAGCTTCTGCCACAGCTCTGGGGGAGAAACTTATTTTCTTCATTCTGCCTTCCTAGAACAAGGTGTGTATCATATTTGGGGGCATGTGAGAAAATACACAACCTTCAGTATATGGACCATATAAAAGTTCAAAAATGACTACTTAACAGTTGGACAATACAGCATTACAATATAAAAATTCCTACTTTGAGTTGCTCAACGGTAGCATTTCTAACCAAATTAAAAAGAGCTAAATGGGTTCATGTTCCTTATGAAGCTTTTAGATTTGATCCAGAAAGGAGCCTCCAGAGACACTGTGGAATCCTAGACCCTCCATCACCAAAATTCCCAACAAAGTATCAGGAGTGGGGGGAAAAATACCACTGGCTCAGCCTGGCTCAAGGCAATGAAGAGCCCCAGAGGGAGAAAGGACATACTGCAGCATCTCTCACTAGTCTGCCTACTACTCAATGAAGAAGGAAGCAATAGAAACAGTTTGGAGAGTGTTTATTAAAGTGTTACTGCTCTAGTTGTCTTAATGGAAATTTAATCAGAACTACTTTAAAAAAAAATCACGAGGGATAACTGAAATCTCACTCCTTAAAAAAATTTATATAAATTATTTAATCCTAAATCCAATCTGTAAAAGCTTCAGGAGCCTGGTGTTGATAGTTATTAAGGCTTTTAGTAGTGACCCATATCATTCATCAGTTTGTGTCTCAGACAACAGGTTTGTTTGTTTTTTTAAATAAAAAACAACCCACCTTGTGCAGATCGAAAATTGTGTTTAAAACGACTATTTTACTCCTAATATTGACCGTTCTTTCCTGCAGTTTCATCCATATTTGGGGAATATGATGCTAAGAATTCCCCATCAGCCAAATTGGAGGCTTAAGTATTAGGCTCATAAGAACATTTCTCATGGGATTACTTGTTTCCAATAGTCTGAGATGTACAACAGAAAGTGTTCTAACACCAGCTAGTTCAAAAATGAAGTGTGATGTAACAGTTAACACTGTAGGAATGAAGACCTGCAATATGGACTGTGCTTAACTCAGCCAAATACAACACTGTTTCTACCAAGTGATTTCTTTGCTTTTAATGCAAACATATTAGGTTGCCAATAATCCATCTGGAATTACTATTTCTAGATGGTATCATTATTTAAAAAATAAAACATAATGCACTGGTTAGTGCTTAAATTAGCACATCTGGCATGACAGGACACAATTTTGTGGACAGGGGATAAAATTCCTCAGATCCTAATGGCGCTGTTATGTTAATATCTGCCAGGGGCTAGAGTGAGATCTTATTCTGCTTTGCTTGAGTCTCTCAAAAGAAGTTAACCGAAGAGGTAGATAGGTACTCTTCCTGTTTTTTCTGTCTTAACTGAAGGCTAAGATGATGGCATATTACAAAAGTAGGCAAATTAACATTTTTGTGGGGAATGAGCAGGACAGAAACATCTATCCTGGTTTGAAGCATCATTATGCCACTGAACTAAACACAGTGGGAGTTTTATCATAAGCCAAATTAATATATAGCAGCATTAAGGCCTAACAGTAAAAGAGCACAATGCACAAATCAATGGCAGAATATTAATATAATTAGTTTCCAAAAGACAAAAATTACACCACAGTAACACAGCTCTTCAAGAAATTCTCTGACTGGATTCCTACTCTTGAGCCTTTACAGTCTGAGATGAGTAACAATTTCCCTATTAAAAGTTCCTAACTTTTTCTTGTACATCATACACAACCACCATTCTTCCATGTCCTCTTGAACGTTCCACAGTAAAAATGAGGGAGGAAAAAAACGACATCTAACCTATAACCTACACTAGATTATTGTATAGCCTAGTGTCAGAAAAATAGAGAGAGAGAGCTTGGACTGCTGTCTGAGCCTGCTGTCTTGCTCATCTGAGCTGCTCTTACAAACTAATTCAGTACTTCAACCCTGCAACCAGAAACAATGAACAACAGAGTAAAATGGGAACAGTAGCATTCTTAAAAAAAAATCCAACCAAATTCAAAGAGGCAAGTGTGATGTGCCTAGCCTGAGAATGTGCACGCTCAGAGTTGTCTAGACAAATTACTAACAAACTATATGCTTTGAGAGTTTACTTAGAATGAAAATTATGTGTCGTTTCAGCAGTATTTTTATTCCTGTAGGACAATGCCTAGAAAAATGAGCAGAGAGATCTATACTAACTATAGGGAATATGAAAAATAGCTTGAAATCCACATAACTTAATTCCTACCCAAAACCACAATTAGCAAGGAACAGCTACATCTACTTCTGAACCAATAAACTAGCAAGTGTCCCAGTTTAACTGCTGGGAAGCAGTTGAAGAAAGACCATGGGAAATCCCTACGATGTCTCTGGAATGCTAGAGAACAGTACGCATTCCTACACAACACAGAAGGCATCAGTGATGCAACTCTTTTATATGCAGTAGCTGTGTGAGCAGCAATTTTCTACTGGAATACAATGACTAGAGAAGTTGCCCTTTCAAAAAGACAATGACTGATGGACGTTAATAAACTACCATGTCTTAGAAAAACAGTCACAGAAGGAAGAGTCCCTGAAACAACACAGCAAGTCATACAACCATGGAGGGGCTTGGCATGAAGCCACAACGTTCAAATGGAAACTGCCATCCATGATAAAAGAATGGATAAAAAGTGTAACAAGCTGCAGGTAAAAGCAGCAGGCATCTTCATGGAAAGCACATGTGATTATTGCCTCAGATTGCCTCTTTTCGCAACCAGGTTTCTTTCTGGTTCGTAGCCTGCATATGGTTCCAAAGCACTAAAGGGACTTGATTCAGCAAAGTCTTAATGTTTTGTCCCCTTCTAGAGAAAAAAAAAATCTGTTCAACCTCATACGGGGTCAGAGCCCTACTTTCAACCTCACCTGCCATTTCAGACTTAATGTCACAGGAGCCAGAGAAGGAGACTTTCCCCCCATCCTTGCTGGATTCCTCATCTCAGGTCCCTACGTGTGTACGGTTCTACCATCTAGCCGCAACCCAACACTACAGTACACATCTCGCACATTTTCCTGCTACAATTTAGAGACATTCTTTTTAAAAATCTTTTTGAGTTCTGCCTCTAAGGACATCCCAGGCCTCCTTCACTGTTCACAATGGAAAGCATAACCCCAATTCCACTTAACCATTTGACTCTCCAAGACTGAACCAGAAGATTATATTGTATTCAGTCTTGAATCCACCTGACATCGGTCAAAAGATTGACATTCTCCTGATCACTGTGCTAGACTCCCAGAACTACATCAGACTTTATTTGTCTACTTAAAGAATATCCTGTGGCACCCAGGTGTGATTTTACTATCAGCACACACTATTACACTGAAACTGTCCATAGTTAATCCGCAAGAATTAAAAGATACCAACATGCAGACAGATATGCAAGCAATGGTATTTCCTAACTCCTCCTTTTTTGAGATTAATATAGCATCCTTTTGGTCTATAAACCTTGCTATCCAAAGTATAAAAATGCAAACAATTAGTAGCAATTATTAGACTGCAATTCAGTCTAATGAGATCTGCAATGGTCACAGGCAAGTAGTGTCAGACCCCAATTACAAACACAATGTATGTTCTCACAGGAAGAATGAGACAGATTACTTAAAATATATCTCACTATTTGTGATCTTGTTCATTCTTTGAAGAAATAAGAAAGAATGGATCTCTCCATTAGTGGAAGATCTTAAATACATGGCTAAAGGAAAAAACAATCTGGCTGCTCTCTAACAACTTACAGCCTGTCCTCCATTCCCTAGATGCATCTGCATTACTGGCACAAAGAATAACAGCCAACAGCAAATATAATTCCCTGTTCTTAATTTTTTACTCTACTATTTTATACTGATTTATTTAATGCATCTTTTGTAACATCTCCTGTGGTCTATTTTAATTTTGTTCAAATTGGCAGAATGTGTAATTTTATTGCATGCTTTTACTAAAAAAACCATAAATTATGTAATTTTATATAACATCATTAACAGCTTTTGCTAAAACAAGACAACAAGTATATAATAAACTACTACTACCATTAGTTCATCAAGGTTCCCCTAAATTTAGCTAGTGAAATCTTACTTCAGTGTCTGAATTTTGCCAACGGTAACTCATACCTATGAATAAGATATGCGGTCATCCAATTCTCCACAGTACCAAGAACAACGCAACCTATACTTGGGGAGGCTGGGTTTTTTAAAGTACAATTTTACCTAACTAATTTTACCTGATCCAAATGACCTAGGAACAAGTGCACTGCTGATGAGTTGCACCTTTATCCTAGGTTCCAATTTCCTTGAACAACAGGACTAAGAAATAGTTATCTCTTTACCAGCAAGACATACCTAAGAAATCACCAGTGAGTTCTCAAGAGCTCCTCAAAATAATCTCTTAAAAATTTGTAAATGAAGTTCATAAAGTTTAAACAAACAGATAAATATTAAAACTGCTTAAAGAAGGAAATAGGCACACAGGGTCCTTTGGGTAAATATGGTATCTTTTATTAGACCAACTTAAATAGCTGGAAAAAATTTTTAGCAAGCTTTTGGGTTT